CCCCTGCACCCCTTCCCATGCCTCCCTCCCTCCCTGCCTTGCAAGGTCACCGAGCCTCCACTTTCCTGCCCGCCCCCCTCCCTGCGGTGCGAATGTTACATGAGATCATCCATTTTTGGAGCCCCGGGTTTCTGTCAGCACCGGGTTTTGTGTGTGTGTGTGTGTGTGTGTGTGTTTTAACAAAAAAGCAAAAAACGGGGTGGGTTGGGGAGAGAGGGAGAGAAAGAGAGAGAAGGAAATGATGGTTGTGCTGTTGCATTGCGTGGTGTGCGAGGCTGCAGCAGCTGCATTGTGATCCCGAGGCTGAAGGATAGAAATAAGTTTTTTTCCCCTTTCTTGTCCTAAGGAGGCTTAGAGGTATTTAAAAAAAAAAAATGAGAGAAAGAAATGGGATTGCTCCGCATCCTTACAGGCTCTTCCTGTGTAAAACTTTCTAATGACAATATTTGTTTATCTCTGCTGCTGTATTTACTAGATAAGCCACAAAGGAAGCTTTTTTTTTTAATTTTGATTTTGAAGCCGAATTTGGGACAGTGGTTATGATTTAGTTGAGCTGGTGTGTCAGCTGGGCTCAGGCCTTCAGGATGGTAGGAATGCTGCAGTGTAGTCAAACCGGTAAATGCTCTCAGATACATTGCTGCTAAGTGTGGTTGTACTAAGAAACTGCACCACTGCATGCATTTGATAAAAATGCTCAATTTGCTTTGGTTGTTTTCTTCAAGGGTACTTTAAAGATGACACTGCATGGACAGTGCATCCAATCTCAACTGTTGCTGTGGAACACAACTCCTGTGATTGTTAATGACTGTGGCTGTTGGTCATGCTGGTTGAGGATGATCAGAGCTGTAGGAAAACATATTTGGAGGGTACTCATTTGGCAGTAGGCAATACAGAGATTGCAGTGGCTTTTGTGAATTCAGTCTTTGCACTAAATCCATCAGTCTTTGCCTTAATCTTCAGGATGGGGAAGAAGCATAATCTTCTTGGTTCCTCCATGTGTCACACAGAACGTTTATTTAAAATGTATTTTAAAACTGGGTTTTCCTGTACTATAGAATTTAAACATAGCATATATGTCTTTAACAGTATTGACAAAAATGAGCAGCTTCTAACTTCACTTGCATCCACTTCCCCTTTCAGTCTCTGCGCTCTACTTTTCTTGCACTGAGTGAATTATTTCTCTTGATTCTGTTTTTCTTTTTTAAGGAGCCTTACAATTTGGTTTTCAGACTTATGATGCAAATGAAGCAACAAAGAGGGAAAAAAATAATTGCACAGCAGTGTGGGTTGCTTTAGCAGGACAGTCTTCCTTTTTTTTCTCTCTATTCTGTGGAGAATGAATGCAGTATTTTGAAAAACTTGGAAGCGATTCCACAAAGGTGAATTGGGCATTTGATGCAAGATTATATGAATAAAACCTCATATTTTTCTTACTAGGTATTTGTGCAAATTTGTGCAAAATATGTTTGGCTAGTATGTGGCTCTGTGTTTATTGAACCTAGGCAGAGTGTTAGTTTTTGATTTTAAGTATGCATGAATTCAGCCATTTGAGTAAAGTAAGCAAATCATGAGTTAGTATGTTGTGTAGACACAGTTACATTGTGGTAATGATTACTGTAGTGACAAACTCGCTATAATGAATATATTTCGTGTTCATTAAATTTTTCGGGAAAATGGTGTCAACTTCTTTAAAACTGTGTGCATCTTCTGGATCTTATATAATAGTAATTTTATTCCACTTACTGTATGTTCTACAATATTTCTGTCAGTGGGTGAGGACAGCTTCATTTGGAATGTGTTCCCTAGAATCTCTTAAAAAGTACTATGAAGTCAGATATTGTATTAATTTAGGGAGATTTTAGTATACCATCTCACCAGTTATGTATTCAGTCTAAGTTTTTATCAGCCATTTTTTGGAGTCCAGGCATCAAAAATCAATGAAATAATAGAACATTAGGAAGATTCTATAAGTGTACAAGAGACACAACAAATACATACATTAGAAAGCTGCTTTGACTCACAAAATCATCAGTTCTCTTAAGAAAATGCAGTAGTCAAAAGTCATAATGCTCTATTAAAGCTTTATTTTGAAATTGCTATGGTAAAAGGAAGAGAGAGCCTCAGTTTGAGCTGGTGATTACATAGTGGTAACAATGCAGGCTTCTTGGCAACAATTTGGAAACTTTTTGCCCTTGCTGCTTTCTGCTTTTTTGTTTTTTGTTTTAATTTTTGTAGCCCAGGGATTTCCTCTTGGCCTCTCATCCAGGTACTAACCAGTTTTCACCTTAATCAGCTTTTTTGAGGTCAACCTGATGTAGCTTTCATTGTTTAAAGACAAAATTCAAAATCAACTAGGCCTTACAGTTGTGTGAACTTTTATCTGTATTTTTCATTAAGTTTAATAATGAAAATGATAGCCACATCTGGGCACTTGTATGTTCTGTTTGTATTAGTATGAAACCACAACACATATATAAATAATGTAATTTTTGTGGTTTCCTATTGTACATTTTAACCAAGACTGAATAAGCTTTGCTGATATTTTGAAAATGATATGTTATCAGTTTTCTAGTAATGAGCACTTGTTTGCCTTTAGATGTTGATATTTCTTCCCTGGATCTTAGTTTTTTATGGTGGAAAAAAAACTGATCATTTTCTGCAATGCACACTAACATAGTTGCCAGTTTAATGTTTTGTATTTAAACTTTTGGAAAGTTCATAATATGAACCAATGATTTTCAGTTAATTCTGGAGAAGTATTGTTTTACCTTTGTTCAGTTTTTATGGGAAAGATTGGTTAGAGAGAGATTTTTTCCTATCTCCGTCAGATTTTATACAATAGGAATTGTAGTCATACTTCACATTCATCAACTGCCAGTATGTATGGAGGAGGGAAGAAAGAGATAAAAGTAAACTATCAGTCTGGAAAAAAGTTTAGATACGTGTAAATATGCAGTGCTTTTGATTGACTTACCAATGCATCTTTATTAAGAAATGTTTTACCAATGCATATATTTTTTCAATAAACTCTTGAATATTATCTATTATGCACAAATGTTTATCAGACAGTATTCAAATGTACAGTTATTTAGATGTGCCAGTGGCTTATAATGTTTGAATGTTTGATTTTGACATAGCAATAAAAGGTTGGAAAGGGATTGAATTCCTTGCTTCCAATTTCTAGTATAAAATGGCTGTAAAATGAGTTGAACTGCTATTTCTGAAATTGTTGTGGGAATTACAGTTCAATTCCATCATTTTTATCTAAGGTGAAAAAGAAACATTTAATCTTGATTAGTTGGATGTGGAAATGAGAGCACATGATATGTATATTTTGAATACTGATAAGCATTTGATTTTTTTCCAATATGAGTTAAGCATGTCCCAAATGAACATTTTGAAAGGCATTTGAACTGGAGCTATCCTTGGCCAACACAAAACGAGTCTGCCCAGGATCCTCATAGGTTAGCATCTTTGGGGAAGTACACAACATACATTTATTTCAAACCTCTTTGGGAAACTAGTTTTTGTAGTTCATTGTGAGACTGCTTAATTAACAAGCAGTATTCATATTCATGTAATACTGTTAGAATTATGTGTTTTCTACAGCATTACTGCAATATCAACAATTGCCAGTTATTCTTGCTTTTCTTCAGAAAAGTCTAGAAGATTTCCATCCATTTTAATGTCTAATCCCACCTCTTTTAATATTTGAATTCATAGAATTGAAACAATATGAATTTTAGTTTTAAAGTTATTTTTCATCTTGTAATAGGTTGCCTGTAAAGTACTTCTTCTGAAACAAAAGAGTTGCCACTAGACCAGAAGGAAAAAAAGATCTGGCTGTTTTTAATAAGGTTTATCAGTTTGTTTGGGCTTTTTTTCTCCTAAAGGGGTTATTTCATATGTGTGTATTTCACACTGCTCAGGTTCACATATGTGAGATGGGCTCTTACATAAATTTGCCAAATAAATAACTTGTAGCTAACTATATGATATGAGAGCAGAGGAGTCTTCTTCGTAGGCATGAGCCCATGTAGCTTCAAATGTTTGAACAG